CTGCAATTGTATTACCCATTATTAAAATTTTCATTGTATATGACATTTTTAGTCGTACTTACAGATGGTACAATATCCCCACATATCAAAATTTTTAATCTCCTTAATTTACTTACTCTTCAGACTACTACATACATTTGACCATGATTATAGACCGGCCTTCTAAAAAATAATCACAGGTATGATAGTATTTGCCATTGACTTTTATTTATTATCATGCCATATGATAGCATCAAAGGAAATTGCTTTCTTTGGAACTTGAAAGGTAATCTTGAATCTGAAGGTGTCAACGACATTCAAGGAATTAAAACATTTGTTCCTGCATTCGTTCCACACATAATCTGAGCTTCCAAAATATGATCAACCAACCTTGTAACCATTACACAGTCCTAATGAGTGATCAATATTTTTAATAGCATCACAGGTGGTAGATTTCAGCAATCCATTGTGCACCTTATAACCATAATCTATATTTCTCTTATTAATTGTGTTGTCTATTCATATTTTGCAGTGTTAAATGTTGAGGAAAAAAATCTGTAGATTATGGTTTTAAGTTTCTATCATTTTGTATCTAATTTTTTTTTAATACCTGATAGCTTATAGTTTAAAGTCCAACATATTATTTTATGATTATTAATTGTGTTGCATATTCATATTTAATTGTGTTGCATATTCATATTTTGCAGTGTTATTTCCTAAAAGATTAATATAGAACATTATGACTTTAATATGTATCACTAATCAATTTATGCTAATTAGTTAATCAAGAAGAAGTGAGAATTTTATTCTTTAAGTTCACTTTGTTTAATACAATCTTATGAACTGCAATTATTTTTTTATTTAGCATAAACGCTAATATAGTATGTAGTGTATTTGTGTTATGTGCAGTTATGAAGTATTGGCAGAAACATTATAAGTGTTTGTCTTTTAAGTAATGAAAAATCATGCATTTTTTCTATCTTTTTTATATTCATATATATGAATTTCAATACAAATTATACGAAATTGAAAAAATATATTAAAAGACCTTTTGATAAATTATATGAAATTGAAAGTTTAATAAAATTTGAGCTTGTTACTTGAATATATTTAAACTTACCATAGACTGCAAATCAACAATGTATAGGATATATAGTTTGTCAAGGTATGTTCAAAGTATAGAAATAATTAGTAATATACTTTTTAAAGTTTAGAGTACATATTCTCAATACTTTACAATACAACTCAAACCTATAATAGTCTATTAACAAAACATACGAATGATCAAAAGTACATATTCTTAATACTTTACAATATTATAGAACTCAAACCTATAATATACATCCAAAAAATAATGAAAAACTAAAGAGCTGTGCAAAAAAATTTCATCATGGACTCCTACCACCAAATTAGCTATATATGTCCTATGATACTTGAACTCCCTACAATATAATAATTCAACCATCCAAACAGTTTAATTACAATGTAATCACCTACTTGGAAGAATAGGTACTTGAAAAACTTGTAATTTGTTATAGATTGAAATAAGATTTAAAAAAAAAAAAAGATTGAAACTGTTAATCTGTTATTACCCAATAAAAGAAAGAATGATGATCACTGATGCCAGGCTGGAATACTTTATGCAATATGTGAAAATTCAAGAATAGCATTTTATACTGCAACACTAAAAAAACATAAACTGCATAATCACCAAAAAAGAACTTGTAATCCTTACTTCACCTATAGAAACTAAAGTTAATAGAATGGAATGCTCCAAATTAAAAAGCCAAGCTCCAAATTGCTCTTCTTCAATCTTCTGTTTGAGTCTTGGTGATGGAGTGCTGGGTTTTGGGTTATATTTATAGGTGATTTAGGAGTGTTTGAGTACAACATAGAGTTGGGAGATTGGGTTTGATTTTAACTAGGAATTAAGCATGCATGTTTTTAAAGATTTTTTATTTAAATCTTAATAATTTAGCCATGCAGTTGAGTTTTAATGGGAGTTTGAAATTTAGTAAATTGAACGGAGATTTATAAAACTGATAATGGAGAATATAATTTTTAACGGGAAAATAAATAATATAATATTGTTGAATATATAGAAATATGAATTTTAATATTGTTGTATTGCTAATATTATGTTTGACTATTTTACTACTCAATCATCCCTTTCTTTCAAATCTACTATATATATATATATATATATATATATATATATATATATATATATATATATATATATATATATATATATACACACTAATAAGAGCCCAAGATAGTTAGGCTTATAATGGGTAGAAAAAATGGGGGTCAAATATTTTAATCAAATGAATGGCTCAAATTGATCAGATTTTAATTTTTTCTTGAGATTTCCTAATTTATCCTTAATGAATATGATTATCCGTTAAATATTATCTTTTCCGTTAATTTCTGTTAGTTCACCATTAACCTACTCATTGATTTCAATAAGAAAGGTCTTAGGTTCGAACCACATCCCAATCAAAGTTGGCATAATTAGTACTCTATTTTACTCTTATTAAATTAAATAATAATTTAGTAGCTACAACAAAAAATAATACATATGCATTTCTTTAATTTAGAATTATGTGTCTACAATGCCTTTATTCAAAAAAATATTATTCATTATCAATAAATTAAATAAGAGAAATAATTTCAATAGTTATATTGTCTTTATTTTTCTCCAATATAAAAATTCTTTACATTCAAAATTCAAATTCATCAATTGATTATATTCGCTACATTGTCCCTATAATGTCTTTATTAAAAAAAATTATTCATTATCAATAAATTAATTAAGAGAAATAATTCCATTAGTTATATTGTCTTTATTTTTCTCCAATGTAAAAATTCTTTACATTCAAATTCATCAATTGATTATATTCACTACATTGTCTATTATCGTTTTTATGCACTATTTTTTAATTAAATATCAAAGTTATAATACAAAATAATGCTATATATTTATTTACCAAGTATTTTATTAATACCATGAAAAAATTTAAAAAATTTAAATTAATAAAGTCAATTATATTAACTACTTGAGGAATTTGTTGACAAAGAGAGTATTCAAATCACACAACAAATTGAAGTGAGAAACTACATTGCAATGTCCTTGTTTGACAATCAACGGTTAGCGGTTAGCGTTAGCGGATTATATTAGCAGATTTGACCAGCGAATTATATCAACAGTTGGTAAAAAGATATTTGAAAAAAATAGCTGTTTAAATTAACATTTAAAATGACCTAATAATAATAATAATAATAATAATAATAATAATAATAATAATAATAATAATAATAATAATAATAATAATAATAATAATAATAATACTAATAATAATAATTGTTTTAATAATAATTCTTTTAAAATATAGATGTGTTTTGGGGAAATCATTCTCAAAAACATTAAGTGAAAATATTGTAAATTGCAATGTTTGCATTTTCAGTGGTTTGGAAAAAAATTGTTGCTTCAAATTGTTGAATAATCAAAACACTTTCTTTAGCATTTTGATTTTTGGGTTACATCATATTTACCAGTCGTCCAATATCTTTGGGTTACATTATAATAAAAATTTTTAAATTTTTACTACATCTAAATTCCTTAAATTAGGAATTTCTTTCTCCATAATAATTTATGCAACAATAATGGTTGAACTAAATGAACACTGAGCAAAACACCTAAAGGACTGGTACCGTTGATTCATTCATTGATCTTGTATATATGTGCATTCATTAAATATATTAGAACCCTTTGCAACAAAAATACTTCGTTACTATTTAAAAAAAAGTTTAGTAACAATTATAATGAATCTCCTATATTACATTGTATTTATATACTATGAATTACATATTTAAATAAACAAATTAGACATTAAATTACTTATGTTGAACTTCCGTTAATTATATGATTATCCGATCCGTTAACTTTTCCATTAAGTACCGTTAATTCACCGTTAGTCTAATTATAATATTAAAGTCTAATATAGAATTATAACTACAACATTAATCTAATTATAATATTAAAGTCTTAATAGAACTCTAACCACAAATCCTACTGCCGAAATCTACTCAAACAATATTAGTATATCTTTAATATTTTATGCTTTAATTTTTATTTGCTCTCCCTTATGTCCCGTATTGGTTTCAACCATACCCAAGCATACAATTATTTTATTGACAATTATAATCAATCTTGACTATATATTATCTTGCATTTGTAAACTTAGAATTACCAATTTAAATACGCAAATTCAAAATTTAATTATCTATGCATGAACAATTCTAATATAATCTTTCCTTGATATACTTTAAAATACTTATTTAAGAAAAACATTGGACATCATTTCCATCGCGCAATGCGCACAAAAAACTATATTATTATATATATGTTATAATAACGATAAAATTAATAATAATTATAATATATGTTGCTTCCTATTTCTAGTATTTGTACTGCCAGATTTATTTATCATGCACTTATTATAATAGTGTTTTAATATTGTCCTATTGTATTACAAATAGGAATTTTAATATAGAATTATAGTACGAATAGAAAAGTAGGAAAGAATATATTCTATTAGCAATTGTATTACACTATTTTACAATATTATAATCGGAATTTTAATGTAGAATTATAGTACGAATAGAAAAGTATGAAAGAATATATTCTATTAGGAATTTGTATAACACTATTTTACAATATTACAATGAAATTTTAATGTAGAATTATAGTACGAATAGAAAAGTAGAAAACAATATATTAAAATTTGAGAATTTTGGGCGGGAAGTTAAGTTGAGGATTTTGTTTTTATATATAGATAGATATTTCCGCTAAATAAAAACAATACTCATAAGGCAACATACAACATTGAATAAGCAATACATATTACACCAATATTAAATCAACAAAAGCAATTTGGAGGACTAAAACTATGAAATCATAGTTCCTCTTAATAAATAAGATAATATGATAGTATTCAAAAATGAGACCAATACTTACTCTCTAACTATACTGCAAAACATGTATCAATTTCTCAAAAACATAGCAATTTCAAATTGCATTCTATTAATTGCATTTTTTGTTTGATTAAACTTAGGGAGTATTTGGAAATCAAGAAAATGACTTTTGAAAAATGAGTCATTTTTCAGAAAATATTTTCATTTTCAATGTTTGGTTGCATTCCAAAAAACTGTCTTGATGTGTTTGGTTCATTTTCCAAAAAAATGAGCAAAAATATTTAATTAAACATTTTAGTCGTTTTGTTTAGAACATAACAACTTTAATAATAATAATAATAATAATAATAATAATAATAATAATAATAATAATAATAATAATAATAATAATAATAATAATAATAATAATGCCAATGACATTGTGGTCTGGTAGCATAAAGTGACTCACAACAACAATAATAATAGTAGTGGTGGAAATTGGAAAACGACTGTAGTGTGAAAATTGGAAAACGGTTTAAAACTTAAAATGACTTCTCCAAAAAAGAAAGTAAGCTATTTTCAAGAAAATGAAGGTATTTAATTTCCTTTGATCAAACACTAATTTTTTTTACTCACATTTTTAGTTTCACTCTTTACTAAACACGAGAAACTCAAAAAATAATTTTTAAAAATTATTTTCTAAATTTTCAAAGACACCCTTAAAGGCATATTCTGGCCTGGTAAGAAATGCTGTCTCACTATGTCTTCTGATTCTTAAAGATTCGACCATGTTGTTTCTTTGTCGCATTTTCTGACCATTTGTGGCGGATTCCGGCAGGCTTTCTCACCGCATGGCAGGTTCCGCATATTTTTTTTTTTTAAATAATAATCTAGACCTTGGATCTCTATGACCAATTTGGGTCCAAATTCCCTAATGATACTTCACCCCTGAAAGCAAGAATAAACATTGGTTGGTTGATTATTTGAATTACTTAGAAAAGAATGGTCTATTGGCATATGCTTGTTTACTTTCTTGTCGTCTTTTGTATAAGGTCACAAGGCAGGGTTTATTCAATATAATCCTAGGCTTGTTTGTTTACCTTCTTTGTGGCCTCCTAGGCTTGTTTCAATTGTTATACTATGGACCAGGGTTCATATTGAATTGTAAATCTTGATACAAAAATTATGTACCTAGCCTTCAGTTAACACATTCTGTATCTACAGTTAACAATTTCTATACATGTAAATTAAATAACTTGATAATTGCTGACACTGACATAATAAAATTCAACACATTCAGTTAATGCATTCTATACTTACAGTTAACAGTTTCTGTACAAGTAAACAAATAACTTGATAATTGTTGACACAATATATATAGCTACAGGTACATAAACTATCAACTACAGGTACAGAATGTGTCAACTATAGATACAGAATTTTAATATTATTTTTAGACCATGGTCTACAATGCAAGGTAGACCCTGGTCCATGGTATAATAATTTGCCGACTTGTTTACCCTATTGTGATCTTTTATTTGTTAGGGTCACACAAGGTAGGATTTACCTAATACATACTTTTGGATATTTGGTGCACGTTTTTCTCATTGAAAAAGAGAGAGTTTATTACTGAAATAGTCCCTCGACTATTGCGAAATTACCAATTTGATCCTCGACAATGTTTTGTAACCAATTAAGTCCTCAGACTTTGAAATTGTTAACCATATTTAAGTGGAGGGCATTGATGGAATTTCGCATGAGAATACTTATTTCCACGACACTGTTCCGATGCAATTTGAATAGGGGGCTGGGCATTTCGGGTCGATCTCAAGCCCAGTATCGATCGATACTTGCGCATTTCAGTTTGGTCTCAAGCTGAGTATCGATACTTCGGCTTGAGGAAACCGATCGGTTCGGGTTTCCCGAATCAAAAACCAATCGGTTTTCTCTTCTTTATATATATATATATATATATATATATATATATAACTCCCAACCACTAATTTAGAAATCAAGAGCGTTATCCCCTAAGCTATGAACACATTTCTATTAATACTTACATTTATTTTGTATTGAACTAAATCTTCAATATCAATGAATATATACAAATTCATCTCCTCTTCAATTCCTTCCTTGAACTCCATTCTTCATTCATACTATTTTTATTATTATTATTATTATTATTATTATTATTATTATTATTATTATTATTATTATTATTATTTTATTATATATTTACTTTAATTGTTGATTATATTTTAATTATATTTCTATAAATAGTAAATCATATATATATATATATATATATATATATATATATATATATATATATATATATATATGCACGCACACGCACTAATATAAGTCACCGAGTACTAGATTAGTATTATAGATATATTATTTATTTATTGTAAAAATAAAGTATAAATTATATCAAAATTGTTTACATTATTTATAAACAAAATATAAATTTGTTTCATCTGTATAGTTATCAAATACGATGATTAAAATTTACTACTTTCAAGAATTGTGAAATATAATTTGAAGTATAACTTGTAATTATTTTCATTTATCATTTTTTTAATGTTGGGCATAAATTTTTGCGAATCGCGCTTACAAAGTGCTAGTATTATATATAAATATTATAATAATTAATAATCTCAACTCCTGAAGTCCCAAACCTCAATTCTAAGTCATAAGTCCCAACATTTGGTGTTTTAATAATTTTTCTTTCAAATGTTAACTATGCAAATGGATGATTATTCATCTTGTCATCAACAAAACATTTAAGTGACACTCCTAGTGAGCCAACTGAACAATCAATCAGGCAAAAAAGGAAAAGTTAAAATAGTGGGCTTCCGTCAAAACCGAACCGAAATCGAAACCGAACCAAATCCAACTTTTTCAAATCGAACCGAAACTAAGCCGAACTCTAATGTTAAACTGAATGGTTTGATTTTATTTTTTTTAAACCAAAAAACCGAAAAATTCGAACCGAAACCCAAAACGCCGAACCCGTTTGAAGTTGCATTTACATCACTGTTTTTTCCTCTCGACATTTCTTTCAAGTATTCAACGCCAGCTTCATATGCAGCACGCTTGAAATGAATTCCTAATGAGATTGACTATATATAATCAACATTATTTTCAATATATGGGTACTTTGATTTAACCATGTAGCTGGTAAGAGGCATCTCCTTAGCAATGTCAAGAAGTGCTCTATTTGGTAAAATATACCCAATACTTTCATCTCCTGCACGACCCACAGCATCTCTCCACTCGGACAGTCCTACAACAACTGCAAGCTTCTTAGCATTGAATCCAAATGTCTTTTGTATACAGTTGTATGTAAGATTTTCCCTGATAATATATATTATATATTATATATTAGGGCCTTAATTAAGTGGGCCTTAATTACATTCATTTTAATTCATCAAAATATGCATAGAAAATATATCTTTTTGATATAATTAAGCAGAATATTATGTATATTTTGAATGTATTATTCGTAATTGGTTTAAGACGGCCAAAATTAATTTTAGTTGATTTTGAATTATTGATTTAATTTCAACATTAAGGGCGATTTTAATTTTTTAAAATACACTAGTATTTGCATCCGTGTGATGCACGGAATGAATTTGTTGTAATATATTAAGAATATATGAATCTATATATAATTATTTAAATTAGAAAATCTAATATTATATAGTGTGATTAAAGATATGGTTTGGATCAGTTATATATTTTGATAATATCATTTATTGAATTTGTGCAAATAATTGCTCAAATTAATAACTAATGTCTAGATGTATACATGCGGTGCTATAACTTTGAAGATTTTAGTTATCATTATTTAGTATTTTCATAAATTAAGCAAATGTGCTCATTCTCTAACAGCTCAGTTATAGAAATGAATTGCTATCATTATTCATTTGTATGGAAGATATATTTTTTTTTGTCTAGATATATAACAATTTTTTCATTTAAAAAAAAATTAATATCACCGATTATATTTACACATTATTGAAATCTCTTTGTAAACGACATTGGTAGTAACAACACAATCGTGTTCATCTTCGTCTAGAGCTAACACCTTTAATCCAACCGGATGGGTTACTTGGGTGAAAATATATAATGACAGAATATCACTCAATTAGTTATCCATTTTATATTTTCAATCAATTAGTCAATTAGAATATCAAATGCAATGATATTTTTACCAAATTTTCGTTCAATTTTTAATTGATGATGTAGATATTATTATTGAAATATTTCCGTTCCATTTTTAATTTACTTTTACTATTGTTTAAAATATGCATTTACTATTGATCTATATATATATAAAAGTAAAATCCTCCTATGTAATTTTCCCGCTCAAACTTTTATAGTCAAATTAATGAAATATTTTATTGGTCAAATTAATAAAACTTATTTGGTAAGCAAATGTAAAATGGAAATGTTATAAAAGCTATTAATTGGTAATATTATGCAATACCAATATACCATTGTGAAATCCAGTCAATATAAATTGAAAAAAGGAAACTGATATTATTAATTGATTGAAAATATAAAAGGATTCTAATGAAAAAAAGGAAACAGAAATTAGGCAAATTGATTGAAAATATAAAAAGAAATTAATTCTCACATTCTCTATCTCTACCTATAAATACAATGGATTAGTGACTAGAAAAATTATAACTCTTCCTTTTTGTACTGGGGTGAGTTATGTATTGCGTCTTTCATTTTCCAATGGCATAATTCTTAATTTATGTTCTTATTTCTTTTCTGCATCTTTTGCAAATATTGCAGGATACAAATATAGAGACAATTGAAATGGTTCTGAGCAACTATTTACATGCATTAAAGAGAGTTGATGACTTCCAACACCACGTGTGCCCACGTTGTAGAAGGTACGCACAATAACTGGATAAACTACAATGATGTTAAGCATTGGCAATTACAACGAATTTATAAATTTACATGTAATATGCATTATTATTATATAATAGTTGACACTACATTTATTTTTTAAAATTATTTCTCTTTTATTTTTTTATTATATATTTATTTTAAAAATAATATAATTGTCTAATTGTTGTAGCAGGAAGTCACAACGAAATTGTTGGTAGTCAACTTCATCCTACACTCATTTGGAATAGAATCAATGTTGGAGTGCTCCGTGTTGTTCATCTTCCAGAGGCAAGAGGTTTTGAAACAATAAACTCTATAGAGTGTGTAGTCCATGATAAAGAGGTGTTTTTTTTTTTTTTTTTTTTTTTTTTTTGGTACTATGATCGTAATTTTAATATTTTGTATTTCAAAACTTTTAGTTTATGCATATGGTTGTTTTACAACATTTTTTTTTTACACTACAAATTCATGGTACTTTTCTACATATGCATATTCTTCGAAAGAATGTGATTCAAATAATGATGGATATGTTAATAGCTCTAAAGATTGTATAGTTATTCCAACATTCAACTTCACTTATAATTTTATATTTTGTTATTGTTATGTAATAGGCATTTCTCACTTCTCAATAAGATCAAATATGTTTTTGGTTTTGAGAATTTTGGGTAATATTTACCTTAATTTACTACTACTCTTGCACTATTCTTTGAAATTTTCGAAATAAAATCACACAGATGTTTATAAATCATTTACGAAATAGAATCAAATTTACGTATGTGGTTACATTTTTGCTAATTTTTTGTTAAGAGTTTTCCAATTTGTATAATTTAACAATTTAATCATTTTTAATTTATATATAACTTAATAAAGCTTATTCTATAACCAAGTATTTTGTAATATTTACAGTGTGTATATATATGTGTGTGTGTGTGACCTCAAGATCAAAATAAATTATAAAACAATTTATGTATAAAATTTTTCGCTCCTTATAATAAAATAATTCAATAAAGGTTTATATATAAGAAAATTACCCATAATATTTACCTTTTAAGTATAATTTATCAATTTAATTACTTTTTATTTGATAAAGATTATTTTCTAACCAAACAATTGGTAATATTTACGATTTATTGAACCAACCTTCATATTTCCGGTCAAATGAGTACACAAGACGAAATATGTTCATTGCGCTAAATCTTAATATTAATTGAGTTGCCAAATTGTATATTGCATAAGAATTATTCATACCATAATATGAATTGTAACCAATTTAATAAATCAAAATATTAACAAGTATGATCATCCTACATCATTTTCACGTCCAAACTCGTGTACTAAATTAATTAAATATTTTATATTTTTAGTCAAATAATTAATAAATCTTATTTGGTAAGCATATGTTTAATGTAAATTAATTAAAATGTATTAATTGGTAATATTGCATAATTATGGTATTGTAAATGTATTAATTGCTAATCAATTTATAGTAACGTGAATATTATGTATGGGAATAACAGATGAAACACGGATTTGGAAAACGAAAGTGAAATTATGCAAATTGAAAAAGGAAACGTATATTATTAATGGACTGAAAATTATAAAAATCCCTAATTGACTGAATAGAAAAGGAAATGGAAAATGAAACTTATATTATTAATTTATAATTCTCACATTCTCTACCTATAAATTGGTGACAAAAAAATGGAGAGATTTTTTTTTTTAACCAGAAATTTCAGTTGCTATGTTTTTTCTGATACAAATTTATAATTATAAATTTATATTAATAAATAATTATTTAAGACAAGTATAATTTATTTTATATTGTGGACACATTATTTTTAATAATTTTGGTTTAATAATATTATACCTTAATTATAAAAATTATACCTGATAATCTTAGTATTAAATGTCATACAATAATTACCATAAACAATGTTTAACAATTGACAAATTCTATTAGGCAATAAAAATTACTATTATAAAATCTTTTGTAATATGGACACATTATTTTTAATTATTTCGATTTAATAATATTATATCTTATTTATAAAAATTTGAAGTAATACATTTAGTACTATTGAATATTGATTGACTAAAAATTATCTTAATTATTAAGGTAATTAATAGGTATTTAGCTTTAAAAAAATTCAAATATATTAATTATACATAGTAGTATGAAATCAATTAGTAGGACAGTTATATTATGTAATCTAATTAATAATTTACTTTTTAAAATTATATCCTCTTTTCAATAATTATATATATATATACTTAATGTATAATATTATTGGCATAAAATAAATTATACTTACATTAATATATAATTAATTTTTAATATTAATGGTAATTATTCTAATAATTTTCTTTCCTTCTTTCGTGTAATTATTATGATAATTTTATGGTAATGTGTTTAAATATTGGAAGAGAACAAATATTAGAATTAATATAATTAATGAAATTATTTTGGTAATTTCCACAATATTTATTAATTATAATTAATATAATTATTGAAACAAAAAAATATAATATTTCTTCCCTAAAAATATTTGTGACAATTTCATTAAGTTATAATTAATAAAATATGAAATATGAAATATAATTAAAGAAATGAAAGTATAAAATTAACAAAACATGAATATTTATAATTTTACATACAATTATACACTATAATAATCATACAATATTTAAATGCTACATTTTAAATTTCTAAATGTAATTTTTTAATTATAAATCTATCAATATAAATTATAATTATTGAAATTATATTGTAGAATTTTTCTATATACATATTAATAAATATTATGTGTATATACAATGTATTATACAATCATATAAGGAAATGCGTCCGATTAGAGTTTAAATTTATTCATACAAAATTTAGAATTTACATTTTTTTTATTGATTTCGAAGTACAATTCTCTTAGTTAGTATTCATGTTTTTAGAATTATAATATATATGAAATACAATTAGGAATAAATAAACTTAATTATGTGAATTTTTCAATAAATTTATCTAAATATGTACATGATTAGAGATTATATTAACCATACAAAATTTAAATTTAAATTTTGTATGTTATGAAAATAGATACTTGACCAAATATATAAAAATCCAACTATATTATTATATTGTACATTATAATATATTTTCATTGTTTTCTATTTTTAATTTTAAATTCATAAAAAAAAAAAATCCGTGCAACGCACGGGTAAAACACAATCGTTATACCCTGCAACACGACGCGCGCAGCACTGTGCGTCCCGCGCCTCCCAAAACGACGTTGTTTTGGGAGGCGCGGAAGGGGGTTGACGTTATTATGTGTATTTGTTTATATCATTATGTGTATTTATTTATACAATTATGTGTATTTTTTTATACAGTTATGTATTACATTAGGACGCACGATGCAATGCGCACCCTGGTGCATGATATAAATTGCCGGTAAAACACTATATTTTTAAAAATACAATTTGATAAATATCATAAATTAATTAGTACAATATCATTTCTGTTTATAATAATTAAAGAAAAAATAAATAATTCAAATATGTGAACCAATGATTTCAAAATAAAATTAATATATAGTTACAAATAAATATAGCATTATTAGATGTACTTTAATTAGTTTTAATTTTCTTAATGAAATGACTTTTCTTTATCAATTTTTTATGGTAGACTAAGGGAGTGTGTGGGCCGCTGGAAAATATTTTAAAAATAAAAATACTTACTAATAAAAAATAATTTTAAAATATGTTTTAACCCCTCATAACATGTGTAAATCTTATATTTTTTTAAAAATACAATTTGATAAATATCATAAATTAATTAGTATAGTATCATTTTTGTTTATAATAATTAACGAAAAAATAAATAATTCAAATATGTGAACCAATGATTTCAAAATGAAATTAATATACAGTTACAAATAAATATAGCATGATTAGATTTAATTTAATTAGTTTTAATTTTCTTAATGAAATGACTTTTCTTTATCCATAGTGTTTGGATGGCTGGAAAATCTATAATCTATAATATAATTAAAAACAAAATTCTATTTACTTGATTTCCCGCTCAAACAATAGTAAATAGTAAAGGTAAATTAAAAAACGAACAGAAATATTTCACAATAATTCTCTACATCATCATCAATTAAAAATGGAACAAAAATGAGGTAAATTGAAAAATAAATGAATATTAATAATTGACTGAAAATTAAAAATGAAAAAAAGAAACAGAAATTAGGTTAAGTGGAAAAGAAATGAATATTAATAATTAACTGAAAATTAAAAATGATCCATAATTGACTAAAATTGAAAAGAAAATTGTCAGATTATTGCATTTTAATTTTCACAATAATATTACATAGTAGAATAAATCAAAACACAATTATATCATAAATCTTTCACAATTTTAAGCAATGGAACAGAAATTAAAAATGGAACGAAAATATTTCAATAATAATATTCTACATCATCAAGTAAAAGTAAATAAAAAATGAAAAGGAAATATTTCAATAATAATATTCTACACCATCAATAGTAAAGACATATTTTTAACAATAGTAAAGGTAAACTAAAAATGGAACGGAAATATTTCAATAAAAATATTCTACATCATCAATTAAAAATGGTTCGGATAGGTAAAAATATCACTGCATCTGATATTCTAATTGACCAATTGACTGAGAATAAAAAGAATAATTGCCTGAAAATGAATCTGATATTACTAATTGACTGAAATTATAAAAGGAAATGAATATTAATAATTGACTACAAATAAAAAATGATCCATAATTGAAATGAAAAAATAAATTGACAGATCATTGCATTTTAATTAAAAAATGAAACAGAAATTAAAAATTGGACGGAAATATTTCAATAATAATATTCTACATCATCAATAGTAAATGCATATTTTAAACAATAGTAAAAGTAAATTAAAAATACAAAGAAAATATTTCAATAAAAATATTCTACATCATCAATTAAAACTGGAACAGAAATTAGGTAAAAATATCAATACATCTAATATTCTAATTGACTAATTGACTAAAAATAAAAAAGAATAATTGGCTGAAAATGAATTTGATATTACTAATTGACTGAAAATATAAAAGGATTACTAATTGACTGAAATTCTACCATTATATATTTTTACCCGAGTCACTCATCCTTTGGGACTAAAGGTGTTAGCTCTAGACGAAGATAGACAAGATTGTGTTGTTAGTATCAATGTTGTCTACAAAGAGGTTTCAATAGTATGTAAATACAATCTGTGATATTATGTTTTTTTAAATGGCAAAATTGCTATATATCTAGACAAAAAATATATTTTCCATACAAATAAATTAGGATATCAATTCATTTTTATAACTGAGTTGCTAGAGAACGAGCACACTTGATTAATTTATAAAAGTACTGAACAATGATAAATAAAATCTCCAAAGTTACAGCACCGCATGTGTACATTTACATATTAGCTATTAATTTGAGCAATTAATAACATAAAAACACATAAATGATCCAAACCATACTTTCAATTGCACTATATAATCTTTGATGTTCTAATTTAAATAATTATATATCGATCCAAATATTTTTAATATATTACAACAAATTCATTCCGTGCATCGCACGGGCGCAAATACTAGTAATGTATAATATTATTATTCAAATATTTTCCTCTAATTTTTAATTTCCATTCCATTTTTAATTAAAATGCAATGATCTGATCATTTCTTGTTTTATTTTAGTAAATTATGGATCATTTTTATTTTCAGTCATTAATATTCATTTCCTCTTATATTTCAAGTTAATTAGTAATATTATAATATTATATTCATTTTCAGTCAATTATTTTTTTTAATTTTCAGTCAATTAGAATATAGATACAGTGATATTTTTACCTAATTTCCGATCTATTTTAATTTGATGATTTAATATTATTAATGAAATATTTTCGTTCCATTTTTAATTTACCTTGACTATTTTTTAAACTATATTTTTACTATTTGATGATGTAAAATATTATTATTATTAAAATATTTCCTTTCCAATTTTAATTTTCCTTTACTTCTAAACCCAAAAAAAAAAAAAAAAAAAAAAAAAAAAAAAAAAGACTTTGGACTTCTCAATACTTACCCAAATTGATGGGCAAGCAATTATGTTTGTAAGATGAGCAATTATATAAAGAAGCTCAAGAGCTCATCTTTTCAAACATTTTCAATGTGGGATCAAAATGATCTAACATCATTTACAAAAGGGGCCCGTGGCTCCCTTTTGTCTTCTTCTTATTATTTTTAATTTTAATTTTATTTTGTATATCGTTTGTTTAGATTATTATTATTATTATTATTATTATTATTATTATTATTATTATTATTATTGTTATTGTTGTTGTTGTTGTTGTTGTTGTTGTTGTTGTTGTCGTTGTAATTTGATTATTGATAAATTCATCAAAATTTTAACAAATTCGTCATTTTAACTTTAATCAAAACACCAAAAAAATTATATAATAACTCAGTAATTTTCTCTAAACATGTAAAAACTAATGTAACCCATACATTTTTTGTTAATCTTTCACAACCCCACTAATAATAAATAAATAAAAATTAAAATAAGAAGAAAAATTTAAGACTTCTTAAATAAGAACCTTTTGACTTCTCAATATTTGCCCACATTGATGGGCATGCAATTATGTTTGTAAGAGGATCATTGCTCTCTCTTTTCAAACATTTTCAACGTGGGATCAAAATGATCTAACATCATTTACAAAGGGAACTTGTGACTCCCCTTTGTCCATTTTTTTTTTAATTTTAATTTTATTTTGTATATAGTTTTGTTTGGATTATTATTATTATTATTATTATTATTATTATTATTATTATTATTATTATTATTATTATTATTATTATATTGTTGTTGTTGTTGTTGTTGTTGTTGTTATTATTGTTGTTATTCTATTTTGATTATTTGACAAATTTGCCAAATTTTTAAGAAATTCGTCTGTTTAACATTTTATATTTAATCAAAATACTAAAAATGTTATTTAATAACTTAACAATTTGCTCCAAACTGCTAAAAACTAAAACAACTCATATACATTTTGGGTTAATCTTTCTTAAACCCCATAATAAATTAAAAAATTGAAAGAAAACAAAAACTTAAATAAGAAGCCATTAAGATAAGGTTTCTTAAATAAGAGCATTTTGACATGTTGGTCTTCAATAGGTTGAGAAAGTTTACATGTAAAAGGGTCAATCGAATAATTACGTTATACTATGGAACTGTGTCCACCTTGCAAGGTGGACACAGTTCTATGTTCATAATTACTGAACTATATGTTCATTATTATAAAGCTATATATTCATAATCTTTGAACTTCATATTCATAATTATTGAACTATCTTCACAATTACAGAACTCTATGTTCTTAATTATTGAACTATATGTTCATAATTATAAAACTATATATTCATAATTTTTTAACTTCATATTCACAATTACTGAATCTCTATATTCATAATTACATAACTATATGTTCACAACACTATGTTCATAATTATAAAACTATATGTTCATAATTTTTGAACTATATATTCATATTTATGAACAATTTTAGAATTGTGTCTACCTTGCAAAGTGGACACAATTTCACAGCATAATTTGTCGGGTCAAAAGTACTTAAGAAAAAAAAAAAAACCTTTGGACTACTCAATACTTCACATATTGATGGGCAAGCAATTATGTTTGTGAGAGGAACATTGCTCATCTTATATAGAGGAGCTCAAGAGCTCCCATTTCTAAACATTTTCAATGTGGGATCAAAGTGATCCTACATCATTTACAAATGGGGGCCCGTGGCTCCCCTTTGTCTTTTTTTTTTTTTTTTTTTTTTTTTTTTTTTTTTAATTTTTTTAATTTTAATTTTATTTTGTATATAGTTTTATTTGGATTATTATTATTATTATTATTATTATTATTATTATTATTATTATTATTATTATTATTATTATTATTATTATTATTATTATTATTATTATTATTACATAGGGTTTTTAATATATTTGAACAATAATATTATCAATTATATTATAGAATATAATACCATACACAATATTACCAATTATGCAATATTACCAATTAATAGATTTTATTTAATTTCCATGTGACATTTACTTACCAAATAAGTTTTATATGGTGCTATTTGTATATTGATAAAATTACAAAAGTGCTAGTACGTACTTCTTCCCATATATATATATATATATATATATATATATATATATATATATATATATATATATATATATATATATATATATATAATGGATGATATTACAAAAATACCCTTAATTTTTGGGGAAAATATTTGGCTAGGAGGATTTACTTTTAACTACATATAGATATAGATTTTTATTGCCTAAAAGAATTTTTCAAATAATTATACATGTCTAATTCTTTTTAAAGCTACTGACTCTATTACATTGTACTAATATAAATTTACAATAATAATTTATTAATATAAATTTACAATTATAAATTTGTATAAGAAAAACATATAAACTTCTAGTAAAAAAAAAAAAAATCTCTCCATTTTCTTTTTCTCTTTCTTCAATGTCACATTCCTACTCTCTTTAGAAAAAAGGCAAGGCAGGATGAGAAATTGCGTCAATCTACAACGTCCTCACCCCTCAATTCGATTTAGCTTTTGCTTGATTGCTGTTTTGCCCAACGAACCACGTAAATCATAAACGTTGTTTGTTAAAAAAAACATTGAAAGTTGAATGACATGTACAAATCACGAAGTCAACATACTAACTCTAAGTTTCATAAAATCTTACAAAATTATCAAAATCACCGTTGTTATCATCCTCGATCGCATCTCTACGCTCTTCCATAAAAACTAAACCATTAGGGTTCTGTTTCCAAGCCTCTTCCTCCTCAATTTTCTTTTGCTAAAACAAAGCCTCCTTAAGTATTTTCAAGCTCATACCAGACGATATAAACTGCAAAACATATTGAAGTGCGGGAGAATATAGTTAAAAAAAGGTAGAAAATTCATACGAAAAGAAAGAAATGATGGGATGGAGAAGCCCTACCGATGTGGAGAAGGAAATGATGGGGGATGCTAGGGATTGAAAAAATTATGAATTTGTATTTATAGGTGGAAATTACTAATTCAAATGGAAAGTATAATAATTTGTAATTAAGGTAATAACATCATCATCATTATTATTATTACTAGTATTTTCTTATGCGCGATGCGCAAAAATTAGGTGCCCAATATTATTATTTTATATCAAGATTTTTTATATTTATTAATAATAATAATAATAATAATAATAATAATAATAATAATAATAATAATAATAATAATAATAATAATAATAATAATAATAATAATAATAATAATAACAACAACAACAACAACGATAATGATGTAAACATTTTTATACATTCGATATTTATATTGTATAAAATAACTCCAATTATAATGTATAAATATTATTATTATTTAAGAAGATAAGAAAATATATCGTGGATGCATGTGCATAGTAACAACAGTGGAAAAGATAACATAAGTTATAACGGTAGGGGTATATTTGTCCAAAATATTATAAAGTACAACCTTTATAGCATAATGTATAAAAAAATTAATGGAAAAAATGGACATAAATGAAGGGTATAACCTTCATTCACACTTATTATGTTTTGGAATAAGGGTCAAATAAGCCATTGAACTACACACGAAGTTGCAATTAGGCCATCCAACTTAAAAAACCTACAATCAAGTCCCTGAACAATACAAAAAAATACAATTGAGTCTAAAGTGACTTGTTGACCTGAAATTCGCTGACATGGCAGTTAACAGATTAAAAAAATTAATTTTTAAAATTAATTTTAATACTTTTAATTAATTAAAAAAAAAAAAAAACTCCCTTCTTCTCCGCCTGCTCTTCTTCGTCTCCGGCGAAGACAAAGACAAGTTCAGTGAAACAGTGGCTTTGTGAGTTCGGTGAAAGGAAATGGTTTCGGTTTTGGATACAATGCCCAGATGGGTTCCGGGATCCCTTACAGGAGTACTGTGGTAATGCCGGAGAGTTTTTTGCCGTTGAATCGATCTCTATTTTGTGAGTCTGTCCAGGGGAAATGTCAGTCAATACTGAGAGTGGGCTTTTGTATAATCTCCCGCCGGAGGTTTCGAGAAAGCGAAGTAGAGAGGAGCAGTTTATTGCCTCCGCTGAAGATGTGGCGCCGCTCTTGCAGCAATATCAATTTGAAATTGATTGGATTGTTTGTATGTTTTTTTTTTTTTTTTTTTTTTTTGTTGGATTGGGTTGTTCTGATCTTTGTTTTGTTTATCTATAGATGAGGAAATTGAGAATGAAATTGGAAGAGAGGCAGAAGCAAGAAGCCAGAATTTTGGTGGCCGCCATTGGAGAAGATGTTATGAAGAAAGTGAGGGAGAAAGACGAACAGATTCAGGGAAAGCTGAATTCGGAGACCAAGGTGAGTTTTTTTTTTTTTTTTTTTTTTTTTTTTTTTTTTTAATATATAAATAAAATTTTAAAAATTAATTTTTTTTACTCTGGTAACCGCCATGTCAGCGAATATCAGGTCAACAGGTCACTTTAGGTTCAATTGCATTTTTTTGTATTGTTCAGGGACCCGATTGTAGCTTTTTAAAGTTGGATGGCCCAATTGCAACTTCGTGTATAGTTCGATGGCCTATTTGACCCTTATTCCTTATGTTTTTAGATTATTATTATTATTATTATTATTATTATTATTATTATTATTATTAGTTAAAACGCGTACAGAATAATATTCCTTGTAAATCACATGAGATATCGTTTTATTTAGGTAATTGATTTGTTGCCATTATTATAACAATAATTTAGCTTACCCCGGATAATTTGTATATATTTGTGACGCATTATTTTCTTTACACACAAACGAATGAACACATCTTTGGAGATTTTATTGTTTAATTATTAGACAGATGGCGTAACCATTATTATATAATATATATTATTTATGCATAAAATGTTATGAATCTATATATAACTACTAATTTAAAAGGAAAGTATAATAATTTGTAATTAAGGTAATAACATTATTATTATTATTATTATTATTATTATTATTATTATTATTATTATTATTATTAAATGAATGATGAATGATATAACATAAATGCCTTTAAGTTTTGGGGGGAAAACTTGGTTAGGAGGATTTTACTTTTATATATATATAGATATAGATATAGATGATATAGAACATTCTACCTCGTTGCTTCAGACGTCTCGCATGGCTGCTGGGGTTTTTTGTTGCTTTGCTTAAAGGAAGAAGATGATGATGGAAATAAAAACATGGACCGGGTCAGGCCCATTTTGGGCAGACCTGGTCCATTTATTTTTTTTAAATAAAAGAATCTTTGGGCCTATGTGGTTTATTTGGGGCCTGTTTCAGCTTTTTCATCATTGTATTTAGACTTCTTCTAGTCAATTGATCAAATTAATTCCTCTTTTTGTTATTATTAAATTATCATTCAATTTTGGACAAATATTAAGTTTCAAATTTTCTATTTAAATTTTAATTTAATATTAAAGTGTATATATTAAATTTCCTTAAGTAATGCAATTTATTTAGGATATATGAGTCAAGAATATATTAATATGCAAATCCAAGCATGCTACGCATATTCATAAATTATTGTTGTAATTATACATTCATAATAGCATGCATTAAGGTTGGATTTAGCATATTATTAACTCATAAATTTTTTTTTTAAATATCATTCAATTTTGGATCCTTAGGTCAATTTTAGGTATTATGACCTACTAAAGAAGTTGTGTTTGGTTTCCCCTTAATTTTGAGCACATTCTAGTTTTATGTGTCTTTGGGACTTTAGAATCTATTTTTTTAAACAAGCTGTTTGGGACCTATCTTGGGTCATTAAACTGTTAAAGTATGGATCCCACCATTTTGATTGATATTTAAATAATAATTATAGCTCCTTTTGATTATAACATGTTTATTCAGTTTTAATTATTACTAACTACGATGTTTTGGTATTCATCGTTAGTAATAATATTAAGTTTTGGGTCTGTTTCAGTATTAGACCATTTTTCATTCATGTTATAATCCATTTGGGCCATTGAGGTTTATGAGCCTAATTTGAGTGATTAAGTGCTATAATTATTGTCTTGGCCTGTTTAGAGACATTAAGGATTTAATTGTTATTTTGGCCATTAAGAACTATAACTATTATTTAAGTTGATTAAATTTTTAATCTATCAATAGTTTGCAGGGCCTTAATAATAATAATATTAAGTCTTTAATTTATGGCAAAAGCAATATAGTTGGTATATTGTCTCTATAATGGTAATTTGGTTATTACCTTAACTTCAGTCTCCCTAAGTATCATAATAGTCATGATTAATTATTATGTGGTAAATTGAAATTAGTATTTGGCATCCCTTAATTACAGTTTTGCATTTATTGTAATTATTATTAATTACTGTTATTAAGTTTAGGGGCTAATCTCATTTTATTACTTTTCATAATAATTATCATTTAATGGTAATCTGCTATATTTGGTACATTGGTATGATTACCACTTCATTTTACATGACTATTAATGTTGGTAATTAAGTCCTACCAATAAATTTTTAAACGTACCATTGGACGCTGCATCGAGTTTGTTGACACCGACAGTGAAGATTGGGAGAATTCTGGAGTTTTTCTTCTCTTGTGGATCGTCATCGTTGTTAGCGCAATGGAGAGATGCGGTTTGCATCATTAAGGCTAGCCATTAATTATCTTTTATGGTTATTATTGATAATTAGTGCTACAATTACAGTTAACCGTTAATTTGGACTAGTCACATATTTTACCTTTAGAAAAATTGAAACATTTAAAGATGCATTACCATACTTTAGTTTGTCATTACTAATGTTAATAGTGATTATAATGTTACTTATTGCTATTAATAATTAGTTAATTAATGATGACATTAATATTGTTATGGTATTCAGTTATGCACCTTGAACTGGTTTCAAATAAATTTATGTGACAATACTCCAATTCAGAAAATAATTTTCTGGACATTAATGTTTTTCGGACTTCAAATTTTATTACGTTTTCAAAATTTTATCAGAAAACGTTTATAAAAGTTAGCGGCTGTAACCATTGTTTTTCCATATTTAGTCTCCTACCTAATGTGATAATGTTATTATGGCTATTTATTGCTATTTTGGTTATTTGCAATTTTGTCATTAATAATAATAATATTATCAACTGGGTTATGTGGAGTGATTTTGAATCAATTTAGTAATTTTGGACAAACATATTTTTCAGGCAATTGACTTTTGCCATTAATTCCATAATTCATTTAGTTCTTTGAATTATGATTGCCCATATTTGGTTAAGTATGAATAGATGAATATTTGGTTTAAATTCATATTCTTTAGTTGGTTCACACTCTTTAGATTGTTTATGCATTCGATCACATTAAGTGCATAATATTAAGTTTGATTATGCAATTAAAGTTTGTGAGATTTTGATTTACAAATGATAGCATATCCTTTTGGTTTGATATTGTTTGAATTGGTAAATTCAGTTATTTCTCATAAATTTGATCTTTATGCATTAAAACATTTTCCATGGGCTTACAGTTTAAAAATTTTAAAGTATATATTCAGTACATTATTATTCAAAATGCTGGATCTCTTTTGGTTTGAACTCATCGGTGTTTGAATATTAAGTTTATACTTTAAAATCTCATATTGTAAATTGCTTTAAGTTATGCAATTTATTAGGAATATATGAGTTTAATGTTTAATTTTATGCATATTCGTCCTAAGCATAATATTATGTTTTAAATTATGCAATTTTATTATGCCTTTAGCAATGCATACTTTGAGATGGAATTATATTAGTTCCTATTTAAGTTGGACTTATGCATAAACTTTAGTTGCGGTAGTGCCTGAATTTAAGCACATTTAATCCGCTAATTTAGTTCACCATTTAAGCTTAATCATTGGTGAACCCTACAGTTTTCTGGTGTATACCATACAGTTTACTTGTTTATACCCCAAACAGTTATACATTAAGTATATATGAATAGGGAGACATACTAGTTTTAATGGCCATGACTTAAGAACATCTTGTGCCACTAGTCTCCTTAAATTGATACTCAATATATTTAAGGAATTGGTTTTCAGTGAGACTTTGTCTCTAACCACCTTTCCTGGGAGTATATTTAGTTTTTCCCATCACAATTTGGTATAATCTGTTTGTCAAAATTTTAAGTATTCCTTGCCGATGTGATTTTATTTCGGTTCATTAAAGAATAGCCAAAGCATCTTTAATTTACTAAAATATCTTGAGTTTTCAATCTTGGTTAATTAAAGAAATGCTACAGCATATTCAACTACCTAAGATTGTTAAGTTTCGATCACATAAAGTTTAGGCAATGAATTGATAATTGTCTAGTGATCTTATAATTTTAATTTGGTTTGAGAGTAGCCACAACATCCTTAATTTGTTAAAATTATATATTAAGCGGTTTATTTTGATCACATAAAGTTTTGGACATATCATTTGTGATTTTTTTGAAGGTCAATCTTGCGATTGTATTAATGAATCAAAGCCGAAATAGTGTCAGGTGGGATAGCATCCCAGTACATAGTTTGATCCTGAGTAAATGCTAACGTAGCTAAAGTATGCGCATGTAAATTAACCTGCCTAGAAATATAATCCAAAGTAATACGATTAAATAACGACATAAACGTCCTGCACTGGTCAACTGTGACCCCAACGTACGAATGGATTGGCGTATGATGGTGCCTGAATATCGCTGCCAATTCCATGCAATCCATGAGTAAACTTACTGATGTGGTGTCCCGTTCAAGTAGCCAGGACAAAGCCTCCTTGTATGCCTGAGCCTCCGCCATAAGTGGTGAAAAACAAATTGGTAACTTGCCATTCCTCGCTGCCACAAACGAGCCATCTGGCGCTATAATTACCATGCCGTAAGTAGCCTCGCCCGTGTCGTGCCGGAAACCCGCGTCCACATAACATCGTAGACCACCCCCTCCTGAACCATTCACGTGGTCCGTCGCCGGTGTCGGGTTGGTTCGGCCAACATGAGCAGTGCCATACGCCTGCAGTGCTACGGTGGCTGCTCTGACCAACCGGGCAGGCCGCATCATTGATCCCTTCCAGACAGCTGAATTCCGGGTTCTCCAAATATAATATAAAATTGCTACCATTAACCGGATCTGCTCCTCCGTCAAGACTGTCATAACCCCTTTTAGCCATGTTGTAAACGAGTCTGCAACAATATTAATAATAGGTAATTGTGTTATATTCCAAACAAGTCTAGAATATTCACAAAGCACTAAAGCATGTAACACATCTTCATGATCTAAACCACACATAGGGTAAGTTGGTTCCACCTCCACCCTTTTAAATATCAAGTTAAGGGTTGTTGGCAAATAATCACATATGGCTCTCCACAAAAAAGTTTTCCATTTCGGGGGTACTTTTAATTTCCACATTGCGATCCACTTATCAAAATTCGCTGGATTATTCTCATAATCTCCCACAATATGCCTATAGGCATTCTTTACTGTATATGTCCCCTTTGGGTCACTCATCCAATACCATGAG